TGACTCGGGTGCTTGGTCCCGGGTGTTCCCTATAGACAACTCAGTTGACTGCCAAAACGCTTAGGATTCCGCTCCTGGAATACAGAATGAAGCCTCTTCAGGTTTTCGACCACCGATGCCTCAGAAGCGTGGCTGGTTTCGGATGGCGTCAGCGTGACAGTAACGAGGCGATTAGAAAACGGGTATTTGGTTGTGCTGCAGGCACCTCAATCCGGGAAAACATCCAGCATCATCGAGTACGATGGCTCCGTCATGTGCTAAGCATGCCGAAACACCGTCTACCGAGGCGAGTGTTGTCCTCCGTGCCTCCTTCAGGATGGCGCACACCGCGAGGTGGACAGCACATGACGTGGCAGAAGGGCGTTAAAGAGATCACGAAGAGTTTGGGTTTGTTGGTGTTGTACGCCTCCCAGGATGGGATCTCCGTGACCCCGTCTGTGCTTGAGATGTTCTTTGGTGCAGACAAGGGGAGACTAAAACGACCATATTTATGGATTTTTCACAATTCGTCACAGGGCTGTTCTAAGGTCATCATGATGGGGATGGAAACCCTTAAGCAAAGATGTTTAATTTTCATTGGCCTGTGTTTCGCCCAATCAGAGCGCCCTCTCTTCCATTCAGAGGCCGGTCCGCGGTACGTCTGTCTTGTCGACACGGCTTTCAGTTGTTCGGAATGACTTGCCCTGCTGACACTCACGGAATCCAACAAACGAAATAGAGTGCACTGACTAGAAACGGTTGATTTATTTTACGTCGCTGCTAGCCAGCGACGTAATTACATAGTGAGACGATTCAAAATTTCATTTAACCTACCGACGCATGCTTCGATTGGCGGAACACTTCGAAGAGTTAGCTGGCCGGGAGTGCCCAGCATAAAACTGGGCATCACCGGGTCCACAAATGAGACGACACCCACACGTTCCTAGAAGAAGGTGATCATATGAAATCAAACTTTTATGGCGAAACAAAGCATCCGAACCTGACTGTCTTTCTCTGCCTCCTTTAATGATAGTGAGGAAGGACCATTCTCATTGGCAAAGCTCACGAAGGACATTTGAAAGGTTAATGAAGTGTCAGGGGAGTGATAGATATCGAAGTGTTTCCTGCCTTCAAGGCGAAGTATCACTTTAGTTATCCTCACCTCCAGTTTCCTCCTCGGTGTCAGTCTCCTTAGGCTTACCGGCACTCGCGAGAAACGCGGTCATAGGAACAAAGCCGAACCTTACCTTATGACGATCCTGCAAAAGCCGCCACACATAGCGGCCTGTAATTGCTGTCTTATTTCTGAAAACAGTGTTTGACTCACTTAACCGTGCTGCCCTGCGGCAATTATCTTTCTAATTTGTGTTGAAAACTTTCGTCACCCTTCTTAGATCTCTATAATGGGACTCTCTTGCGCTTATTACTAAATTCCCAGGGCCGTCCGTTTTACTTTCTGCTAGACTTCTTGGCAGAATTAATTATCGAAGGAAATTTCGCTACATTTTACTACCTGTAGTACGGAACTTTCCGAGAGGAACCTCGACGGTTCTGCTTATGTGGATATACTTCACCACTCCGTTCGGATTCCGCCCAGATACAGAATATACTCAATGATTTAACGTTGCCACGCAGGTTTTTTTATACGTTTCTCACCTTCAGAGCTCTATTACAAGACTTGGGGAGTATACCAGCAAAGCTAGTCTGGGAGTCAGACCCAATTGACCTGGCGCACAAATTTATCTGCCTAAGTAGTTGTGGAGTGTCCTCGAAGTGTTTTCATTCGCAGACCTATAACTTTGGGCTTTCGGCAAAGGTTAAGTATGTAAAGGGCGCCCTCTATTCCCCCTGAACATTCGACACTTCAGTGGGCATCAGAAAAATATCACGGAGTTGGTAGAATGTCTGATTCTTAACCATACTAGCTCCAGTCAAATTCACGGCTCTCAGGCAAACCGTAAGGATACGTTCAAATTTTGACTCGGGTGCTTGGTCCCGGGTGTTCCCTATAGACAACTCAGTTGACTGCCAAAACGCTTAGGATTCCGCTCCTGGAATACAGAATGAAGCCTCTTCAGGTTTTCGACCACCGATGCCTCAGAAGCGTGGCTGGTTTCGGATGGCGTCAGCGTGACAGTAACGAGGCGATTAGAAAACGGGTATTTGGTTGTGCTGCAGGCACCTCAATCCGGGAAAACATCCAGCATCATCGAGTACGATGGCTCCGTCATGTGCTAAGCATGCCGAAACACCGTCTACCGAGGCGAGTGTTGTCCTCCGTGCCTCCTTCAGGATGGCGCACACCGCGAGGTGGACAGCACATGACGTGGCAGAAGGGCGTTAAAGAGATCACGAAGAGTTTGGGTTTGTTGGTGTTGTACGCCTCCCAGGATGGGATCTCCGTGACCCCGTCTGTGCTTGACTGGAGACGTTGCAAGAAATGGCGGCTAATCGATGTCAGTGGCGTTCTTGCTGTCAGTTTCTTTCCAGATTGTCTGATTGAGCGGTTGGAGGTGTAAGTACCTCAGTATGCTTGACATAGCTTGACATAGGTCCCCTCCCTTACCCACTTTTTTCTCTTCTCTTCACAGTAGGGCTTTTAATACAATTATATATATATATATATATATATATATATATGCGGATGATGATGACTGATCGGAGATGGACGGAGTCTTGTCTGTTGCATAGGCAGTGCTGTTTATAGGAAGTCCTATTTGTCCAGAAAATGACTTTAATTCGTTAAACATTAATCTTCCTTCATGTTTGTGACCGCTTATTGGTGAGAGCATATCTATCTGCCACCTGTAATCGCCGTCGGAATAATCCACATGTGCCAGCACAAGGCAGAACTATCCAGTGGGGTTGGTGGATCAGTTGCAACGTAGGGTTAAATGTCCCTACGGCGAGCACGCTACTTTATGTTTCGTACGGCAGTGAAGCATCGGTGTTGAACACTGATGTCATGCTGTCGATGGTGATGATGATGATGATGCTTCATTGCTCCCCAGTGCCCCTCCGAACCGTTCTGCCCCGAGCGTCCTCTTTCGCCCACACGGGCGCTGCTATCCTCGTAGGGTATCAAAACGTTCGTGGGGCGACAATGGCTCCACTAAAGTTGCTGGATTATATTCTTCACTGTAGTCGCTAATGATAGTGCTACGACGTCGGAGCGCCCACAGATATCGTGACAAACTGAAGCTTTATAGTCGCTTCTGTGCGGTTCCTCTGGCAACGTTTTTATGAAGAGGTCTCACTTGCGGGAAATTGATCGATGTCTGTTTGTCGTTTCTACCTGCGCCCAAACTGATTAGCTCCGGCACCATCAAAGACTAGCTTTATGGCGCCCTGTTGCAGATGTCATTGCGGTTACTGGAGGTCTGAATGCACATAGTGCCAGGCGTGGCACATCTGGGACTCAATAAGGTGGTCGACATGGATTATATAATCGTTATGTACGGACAGTGGTGAACGATTGCTTCAGCTGTGTGCCCAAGCCTAGACAGGAGTATTCAGGAAACCAAGGTTGGGTTTGAACCAGAGACCTTCCGGTCAGTAACCTCGAGCCTTAACCGATGGGTTATATTCAGCGATAAATTACGATCCTGTTTCCAATAATAGCGCTTGAACGGACTCATCTACCCGTACAGTGATTCCAGCCTGCAGGATGCAGCCGTCAAGGGAACCTATCAAACACTATCATCTAGATGACTCATGAACGCGAAACAAACCGGTTGGCTGTATGGAAAATGAGTGGAAACTCGAAACAAAAATCCATCGTCATTATTAACTGTAAAACAGCTAACTGTCTTACAGTCGTTATGGCCACCACAGTTCCATCCACCAATGATTTGGGAAGGTGGAGTAGGTAGCTCCGCATTGCAGGCGAAAGCTGATATATTTGACGCGTAAACAAGGGGTTGTCAGTAGTGTATTTGCTTTCGCCAAGGTGAACCGGGCACGGAAAACAGCATTCTCTTTGGCAAACGATGGTCCGCCATACGCAATACATGGCGAGATGGCTTAAGTTGTTAGAGCGCGAATTTACTGACCGGAAGGTCCGTGGTTCGAACCCGACCTCTGGCCCTCGACTTCCCCTGTCTAGGCCTGGAAAACCTGGCAGTATCCCAGCGCTCGTGGTTCCTTCGGGCAGCTAGGCACCGAAAGGTGTTGCAGCTGAGAGATTTTTTTACACATGGCCTAAGCTACGGAGCTCCTGGTGCGGGACACATTTTTCGATGGGAGTTCCCGTTTCACAACCGTAAACTCAGTTTCTTTGTTCAGCTGTAACACCATTCCGATGCCTAGCTGCCACGCCAACCCTTGAGATTCAAGGTTACACAGCTTTGACGCCATAGGTGTCTCAAATTAGCAAACGAGACCCCAGCCTCAAAGACTCGTACATTGACCTGAGCTGTCACACTACAATCAGAACTAATATAGCTTCCAAGTTATGTAAAACGCTCCACAACTTGCAGTGACTCTCCCTGGCTTGTAAGTGGCGTGTTCAGCGATTGGATGTCCAGGAGCATGCAAAGTACATACCAAAGGACGGGATGACTTTGATCAGTTCATCCAAAGACATCTGTGCCTTCTCATGTTCGAAGATGAGTACGATGTCGTCTGCATATTCCAGATCGACAAGGTTTTCATCACAGGCCATTCGAACACGGTTGTTTTGGAAGAACTTCCAGCGTTCGTCTCGTTATCTCACCGATCACGAAGTCGAATAAAAATGGCGGAAAAGAGTGGAGGAAAAATGTAGACGTCAATGTTCCGAGGTTGCGTTGTTAACGGTTCTTCCGGTCATCATGTCCGGGGCTTAAGAACCAAGGTAACTTCTTAGCCGTATTCTGCTTCCTTTTTATTTTGAAGGTCATTCGAAAATTGCATGCAACTTCTCAGTCTGTCTTCTTTCTTCCCATTTAACTTCTAGGGCGAAATTCCACCTAGATCATAGCTTTGGGGACATTGGCGTAGGCTTTACGAATGTCTGATTAATACTGACGTGAGCGTCTGATATGAATGTAACTCTCCCTGCCATCGTTGGGCGTCTCGTGGATGGACTGAAATCTCCGTATGACGACGAAAGATTGCGTGCCGTACAGGAATTACACAGAATCGTTGATCGGGAATTGAAAGAAGTGTCAATACAAAGTTATGGCCTCTGTTTGAATCTGCTGTGTCCAGAGTTACTTTCTATGTACATCAATGGTGAAATCTGTGAGAAGAAAGGAGCAGTGGCTGCAATGGGTATGTCATTTCTGGTGCTCCTGATGATATTGTGCTTGTTTCTCATCGTTTGATTTTTAATCCTAAGCCATGAAGTCAGAACGACTGATTGCATGCACAACTGTGAAATCTGGTGGAAAATAGGGATCGCTAGTTTTATTTTACGCTCTCCATTAATGATCTGCGATTCATAGCAGAAGCTGGCAGTCGTTATAATAATTTTGAGGAATGTTGTTATCATGGTCACTACTCGTCCAGACTACATTCCAGTTTTGAATATGGCCATTCTATTACGATTTGTTTCTACCCTTCTTAGCTGGTCCAGTTTTTGTCCGCTGAATTCACATCCCATGGAATGGGACATGATATGCTCGACCATTCCTGTGCGATTTTTGAAATGTGCTAAAACATTGCCAACACTATCGAGGGACAGTTGTTTTCTTTTTTCCACTCTGACTACCTTAGACCCAATTGGTGGGCACTGCGACAATGTACGTCAATGTTGGTTTTGGTAAACTTCAAACCGTACCAAGTGTTGTACACTAATTCGGGTGGCTGGGTATCCAATAGGCCTACGCTCGAATTTGTCATCTGTGGTGATGTTTGTTAAGACTCGTTCTCATATCTTCGCCCTTGAAACTTTGTCGTCGATCTTATCTGGGAAAAATTTCTGTCCGGTACGGTTCGAAGTACTTCCGATGAGTTTGCTCATTGACCCTAAGAGTGAGGACAAAATACCTCTTCCTACATCGGACTCTTAAGGGACGTAAGCGATGCTAAACAATTTAGATGCACCTCATAATTATGAAGTTTAAACTGGTACTACCTGGATCCGAACTGAAGTCCAATGTCTGTCAATAAGCTTATGGTTTCAGTTGACCAATTGGCCTACCTCGCAGCTGTTTAGGCATTATGGCCGAGCCAAAGACGAAGTTACTCCTTTAAAGGGACTAGCCAGAGTGACCTTTGTCAATCACGACATTTATCACGTTAGGGATAGTGCTTATAATCGCCCATTAATTTTGTTCCGTTTGCGAACGTGGTTACCGCATGCTGAATACGTCAAGGATCCTTCAGTGTTTAGCCGACAGTGCTTGCAGAAATGCCGAGTAATATCGGAGTGCACCGAATGGGTTCTGCGAAAAAGGATCCGTCCATAATGGATGATCTACTGATCATAGGACCATTTGCTCACAAAACCCTTCTTGCCCAATCATGTACAGGTCGAAGACAACCTACGGAAGTTTAGTTCATATCCTGGAGGTGAAATATGAAAGCCAGTACCAGCAAACTCAGTCAGGCCCGAAACTGCCAATCACATAAATTGGAAGACCGAGATGAGCTAACCAGATGTCTAGGGATGCCGATGGACATGATCCAATTGTGCCCTTGTGTCTGAACTGCACCATAAATAAATACGCATAAATAAGCATTTTGATTGGCACCAATAGGGAATGCTTCAACCTACACACCGTCATAACCGGATGTACTCCTTATTGCTTTGAACTATTGCTGCCAAAGCCCATATCCTTCAAGATCCATTATACATCGGTCGGCAAACCTGTGGTGGCTGGAGTCACCGTAGGATATGATATGAATGATGACGTGTATGCGAATTAAGACTTATAATGATATAATTGATGTGTGCAGTGTTTTACCATATTCTTCTATGATATCCTGTGCAAGGTTGTCAGTCTTAGAGTTGGGTAGACACGGTCGTGTGCCATACATCGTATCCCAAAGTCATTTCTTTTTTTGCCCTCATTTTTGACAGGATGCCTTGCGGAAATAGATTTCCTAAGTGTTCAGGCGCACTGTGGGCGTTTCGCTTCGGAAATTCTGAACCGCTCTTCTGCTACAGACATCCAGCTGACTGCAATGGAGGCTCATTTGATGGGACAGTTTTGTCTGGTATTCCCTTACGAGTTTATCGAAAGGCTGATAAAGTGCGCTTGTGAGTCCCTTGTCAGCGAGAACCAAGATGCTAAAAAACAGTTTTCTGTAAGTCCTGAATGAGGTAATGTGTTTCTGCGCGTTTCCTTTCTTTGTGCGAATGTATCAACCACCGTTCTATCATCTATTGATATAATCTTCGCATCTACAGGGTACTAAGCCCCTTTCCTGTACATTCCGCATCTCCCATATTGGCGGAATGACTGGCAGTTGAATGTTTTGTTCACATTCACAGTTGCATTAGCACCAATGGAATTTCGTATGGTGGAGTCAGCGTGCCAGTTTCAATCTACTACTTATAGTATCAAAAAAGCAGGTCACTGGGTCTTAATTGCTGCAATCGCCAGGTCCTGAGATGTTTGACCCAAAAAACTAGACTTGTCGTATTGCCGGATATTTAATGAGGTAATTAGAAAACGAGCGTTGAGCTACGTATCCTTTATTTCGGCTGAATTATTCAGCACCATCGCTCGGCTACTTGAGACGTACGCTGAAGTTTCTTTCAGTGAGACCAGTGGCGCCCTTTGTTTCTTCTCAAAATTCCGCAAACTGTGTGGCCGGAGGGTGTGAAGGACGTTACTCGAAGTTTATGCGCTTTTGCGATAGGTCGTTGTGACTGTCCCTACCTTTGGCTGGAGGCGTTGCAAAAGTTGCGGTATACATATTTCGTTCATTGTGCCTTTATGTTTATAATGATAGGTCTTCACAATAACTGTCTAGCGCACTGACTTGTGAGGGCGTTTCTCATTTTAGACATTGTACTTATGTACGTTGGGATTTGATGTCTCTTCCCTTTGTTCCACTCACTGTAGATTCTATTCCTCAGGGAGCTTGTTCTGAACACTCCCACGAGTTTCTATCAACAGTTCGGTTTGTTCATCCCTGCCATTCTCGCATCTTTCCGAGACAAAAATGTGAGTTTCTCTCTGTTTCGGCCCTTGGTGATTCCACCGAGTTTTCATATGTATTTTTGTGGGAATACTCCATGTGTTCCAAATAGTGTTATTCAACCCTTCTTACCTGTTATTTCACATGACTATTAGATAGCCTTGCATAAGGTTTTTCCTCAAAAAACATTGTTTCTCCAACTCAGTTTCGGCCGAATGGTTAGTCCCAACTAATTACTGTCTGTGTATTATTCTGTGGTGATGGTGTCGATGGTGATCGTTCCATTTTTAGCATGTTTGGACGGTATGGACTTGGTATATGTGATCCCGGCCCGTACTAACCCTTGCTGCTTCTCATTCTGCCGAATACTTATAAACTGTAGATCGGTTACTGGCAGCTGACAGGGAGAATTAATTGTCGTGTCCAAGTTAGCAGTAAATGCAAAAGTAGTGTGGTTTCCACACCCTACAGTGTTTTCGCGCATTGGGCTTTGATTTTTGCGGGCGAGCCCTCTTCTATGAATGGCTGAAATGATTTTTTCGTCGTCGTTATGATCAACTGGTGTTTTCACTGTTGTTTTCACTCCCGTTTACACAAAGGCTACTACACGTGAGTTGGCCAGTCTTACCCTACGGGCCGCACTCTCACTTGCTGCGTCACGCGAACAAGCGCTGCATCTGAGCCTGGGTGCTGCTGGGGCTGCCCAACCCGGTGGTTTGAGTCACGGATTACCCAACACTCATAGTTCTTCGCTACGTCATACCGCCACGGACGAATCAGGTGCAAGCGCTGGTGGTAGCTGCGTTTCGTCGGTCGCCTGGTACCGAAGCTGCTTGTCAGAGGCCCTTCGACGGTTTGGTGAGAATCCAAGCAATCCTCCCTCCGAATCCAGCCAATATGTAAGTTGAGTATGATGTTCACTGTTAGGATTGCTTTCTTCTCTTAGTAACTTTCATGAACGCTTATAGCCGTACAAGAATCTGGGCGAGTAGATAGCATCTTAAGCACACTGAATTCTCCCGCAGATTTTAATCCGTTCACCAGGTGGGTGTATCAGATATTCTGGGATCACCTATTTGTTACTCGTATAGTTACCACTTCGAGACCGTTTTTTAATTGACCGCTTACGTTCTTTTGACCGAACTACCATTCAGAAATCATCTGAAGGCTTCTGTTGGCCACATCGCTCAATTCACCTGTTATTCTCCTTGTTTTGAACTGCATTTGACTTTCCCGAAATTCAACGTGATTCGTAAAATATAGGGTTTCCTCGTAATACTTTCATTTGCTACTGTCTCAAGACATCGACACGGAGTTATTCTGGCCATCTGATTGTCAATGGGTATTGCGTTTGTTCGGTCCGATGTACCCTCATGCTGACTTAATTGCCTTATCGGTTGGTGAGCGTTTAATTAATAAAGTTTCATTTTAACTAACGAAGCCATGCACCTGTTTGTTATGACTCTCAATAGGTTGATCTTTTCTTTATTTTCATATCTACTTGTGATGAAAGGGATAAACTCCAACTGATACGGTATACGGACAGACACACGCTCGTTGGTTCATCTCAGTCGATGGGATTTCCTCGTCTGCTCCAAACCGGCGGACAAACACTAACCTAACATTTCATCTCAGTTATCTTGTCATATGCGAGATGACATCAAAATCTTGCACCTAAATTTATTCACACTCACTTGAACAGATGTCTATCGTTACTCCTTGTTGCATCCTTATCATCACTCACTAGTTTCTAATACTCGCTCATCCACCTACATGATATGAATGCCAAGCGCCAGCGTGAACTATCAGTGTTTGTTGGGAAAACTCCAGCGTACAACCTCTGCAGTGTTGTGCTACACGCTGCCCCTGGTCATCTTTTTGGTGACCGAAAACTTAGACTCCGAAGAATACTGTATGATGGTGAATCTGACTGTCAAGAAATCCTGCGTTTTTGGGTTCATTTGACTTCATCGCTTATCTGTAAGTGTTCGGAAAAAAGGAAGAATTGCGCTTACGCAGATTGTCACTGGGTTTCCATCGAGGAAGTAAACATTAGGATGCTTTTCATTTTGATGGGAGCGGAAACAGTAAAAAGAGATGGGCCAAGTGGTTAGAGCGCGGATTTAATGAACGGAAGGTCCGTAGTTCAAACCCGATCTCTGCCTCTTGACTTCCCTTGATTGGGCTTGGGCAACCTGGCAGTTGCCCAGCCCTCGTGCAACCTTCGGGTGGCGTGACATTTAGACATCGAAAGGGTGCTACAACTGAACAATTTTTATTTTTTTCTAATAAGAGACATCTTCACTCTAATGAGACGCTTAACACCGGACAAATTCTTGGAACCCAAACCGAACAGTGGATGTTTGGTTCACATACGAAACCTACAATTCGGGAGCTAGCCCAAGAGAATGGTCTTCTTGAAAACTTGAAATTCTCTAAGAGCAAATCATAAACTGGTTAAAATGTGCAGATGAACTTCATAGGAGGGCTGCTATAGATTACGCTTCGCTCACGAAATGACCTACGATCCTCTAGTGCCTGTTCCCCAACCTTGACGTTAGCTCACCTCTTTCCTTACCTTTGACCTCACATTCATCCGATCTAGCTGAACTTACCAATCAGTGTTCTTGAATTCCATTTTATAATTTCGACATTACTTGCTTTACTTCGTACACTAGCTTTTCTGTTTGATGTGTGGCTCGCCTTTCTTAATTCCTCTGCCAGGTCCTTTACCAGTTTGAAGTCACTTTACCGCCAGAAGGTAACCGGGATTGTCGGCTAACTGTATTGTGGGCTTGTATTGCAACCTATTCGTTTTGAATAACATCGCAAATTGCTTTCCCTCTTTCAGCACTCAGCACAGGCCAAGAAGCTCTGCAGGGATGACTGGGTTCACGGCAGCATGCTCTTGCTTTCTGAGCTTTTGGCCAGTGTCCTACCGGATCATGAGCAGTTGTTAAGTGAACTGGATGAAATGGCTGGAGTGGTGAGTGTCGTTCCGACTGAAAGACGTACACTTAGTATCCCGTGCTATATTCGGCTGCGTAATCTTATATTTTTCTCCTGCTTTACTAGCCTCTGATGGAGTTTCTTCCTCTTGGCTCGAATGAAAGTGCGCTCGCAGCTCGGACAGTTCTTCTAGCTCGGGCTGCTTTCTTCACAAGTCCATCTTTATTAGTAACCAGCATCCCACTGGTTCACAGTTCAGTTTTGTCCGCCGCTAGCAGGTTTGCACCGTCGATTGGTTCAAGTGCACTGACACAGTTTGAGCGCGAGCGTACTTCTCAGAGTAATCCGGTATCATGGCTTTGTCAACGCGTCCTCGTCGAGAACATTGAAGGGGTAAGCGCGCACTGTATTTTCTGCGTGTAGCATATACCTTAATAGGCGGACTAGATTCGCGAGTTTTCACATCAGTATCGCATTTTCACGGTTTCACTGCGCAGTAAGGGTTATAATGCATTATTATCTCACCTGGCCGCTCCCCTGCTAGGGTTCTAGGCGTCACAAAACGTTACGAACTGCATAGCTCTGAAGTTCTTATTCTTACCTTTTGTCGTTCCAGATTTCCAGCGCCGTTACCACATGGTTGAAGTTACGTACACAGCAGCGCGTTGTGCTCCTGTTAAAGCTTATCCCTAGATTGTTTGCTTTGAAATCAAGTCACTTCTGTCTGCGCGAGTAAGTTTCCACTATTCAGCTTCTTATGTCTCATGGTTGACGTTTTATACCTTCATATTTCTTCGTTTCTACTCATGTACAGCCGACAACAGCCAATTGTGGACTGGTTGTTCCATTACTTGAACAAAGAAAGGGAAAAACCCATGGCCTTGCTTTGCCTCGCGCTGTCGGCTTATCATATTGGACAGGATATGTGTACCAGTGGTTGGTTAACACAGCTGTTCACTTTGGTTCGCTCGTACCTACCATCTCCGCGTGACGCCAGCACCAAGTCAGTTATCGCTTTGTTCATTTTTGTCCTCATTCAATTTATCGCCCGTTTTGCGTAAAACAACTCAGCCCTGTTGACCAATATCTATTCTTCTGGGTAGTTGAAGAAGAGTGCGGGTAATTGAATTGCTGCATAGTCCAGCAAGTGTTTTTCGTTGTGCGTCTTCATTCTCCCACTACAGGGAAACATGAAAACATGAATGACGATAGCAAGGACTTAAACAGTGGGTTGAGGTTGCCTACTTTCAACTGGTACTGAAGCACAGCCGACCCTCGTTGTTTGTCTCGTGATTGCTACCCAAGGGCAGGGCATGCTAGTTTTGACATTAGCCCAGACAAAATCAACACTTCCTGTTGATACCGGTAGCTAAAGTATGTTAAAACAAGCTGATCGTCCTCACTGGGCTTCGCTCAGCTTAGGACAAATCAGTCACTTCTCCTACCGAATGTCACTTTTTACGTACCTTGGAGTGTGTATAGTGATAGAACTGGATCACTTCGTGCGGAAGCGATCATTGGCTCTTTTTTTATCAGGTCGGTTTCTATACGAATTCGTCACATTTTGCTTAGGGAAGTTTTTGAATTTGCTCCAACCATTCTTGCGAACCTTGCTACTTCTGCGTAGTAGGGATATTCGGCACTGCTTTACTAGGAGCATCTATCTGCAACTCAATGGTGTGTTGACGGGAATTCCAGTTTTACACAACTTATTTATATACACTCGAAGTATCAGTTTATCCAAGAAGTGCAAATCCACACGTGTTAAGTCTTTTGGACAATAATCTGCTTGCGTAACACATTATATTGCATGAATCGGGACGAAGTATATACATACTCCACGAATGAGCATGGAGCAGAAGGTTCCCTTCATTCCCTAGATGTCCAAACCTGGATAAGTGACCTACATTCTACTAGCCACACTGGACTTCAGAGTACCTCAATGGTTTTCATTTCGGATTATATATATATATATATA